ACTTGATGCTTACTTTTTTGGGTTTACATTGATTAAAATTATCTCTTCATTATGTTGTTCTCAAGTTTTAATGATTTTTTTTTTCTTAATAAGGTATTAAAAAGGAGACAAATGCATTTGGCTGGCCAGAGAGATATAAGGTGGCGATTGGTGTAGCTGAGGCGCTGGACTACCTACACAATGGTTGTGGTCAGTCTGTGATCCACAGGGATGTGAAGTCTTCAAACATTCTTCTGTCAGATGATTTTGAGCCACAGGTGTTGTATATTTAACAACTCTGTTTAATTATTTTTAGCTTTTAATAATCTTACTCCACTTTATTTTTACGTGTGATTACTTTTTTAAAGCATATTGTTTTTTTTCTAAAATCTCCTGCAACTGACTGATCCTTTCTGTTCCTTTTGCTCATTGTCCTTTGTTTTCTCTCAGCTCTCAGATTTTGGACTTGCTAGTTGGGCCTCACATTCTTCCTCTTCTATTACTTGCAATGACGTTGCAGGAACATTTGGGTGTGTAACTTTCTTTTTAGTTTCCTTAGTATTTAGTCACTCCAAGTATTGGTGCTAAGACTCCCTTCTGTTCCAGGTATTTGGCTCCCGAGTATTTTATGCATGGCAAAGTCAGTGACAAAATTGATGTTTATGCTTTTGGTGTTGTGCTTCTTGAGCTTCTCTCTGGTAGAAAGCCAATCAACAATGATAATCCAAAAGGTCAGGAGAGCCTCGTCATGTGGGTAAGTTTATATTTCATGTATTAGAGGCTTCCTTCTCTATATATTTCGAGGACAGTGGTTTTGTAACTTGCGGAAAAAATAATTTTGTTTTTCTTGTGATTTACAAGTATATCTTACATATCGTCAATAATACTATGCGGAGTAGAGGATACATAGTTTCTGATATGAGATAACTAAATTAACCTTTGTGATAGGCATATGATAGATTGTGTAAACCAGAAGTCGTTTTGTTTTCTTAGCCTTCCTTTTTTAGTTTTAAAAGATGTTGTTATGGTCCTTAATTTCCTAGCTTGATATGTAATTTTTATGTGGTTTGATGATGACATCCAGGCAAAGCCTCTCTTAAAGAATGGAAAAGTTTCTCAGTTGCTAGATCTGAGTTTAGGCAGTGGCTATAACAATGAACAGATTGAGAGAATGGTGTTGGCGGCAACACTTTGCATCAGTCGCTCACCCAGACTTCGGCCTCAAATTAACATTGTATTTGACCATGCTTTGTCAAGATTTATCTGTTTTTTTTTTTTTCCTTTTCTTTATGTTTGATCATGCTCCTGTGCTTTCGAATTTCTTGTAAACAGGTTCTAAAGCTTTTACAGGGTGATTTAGAAGTGACAAAGTGGGCAAGGCAGCAAGTTAGTGCATCTGATGAACTTGATAACACGGATGAGGAAGCCGTTCCAAGTAACATTCAGTCCCATCTCAATCTTGCACTGCTAGATTTAGAAGATGATTCACTTTCCATCAGTAGTAGCCCCGAGCAAAGTATCTCTATAGAGGATTACTTGCAAGGAAGATGGAGCCGCACATCAAGCTTTGACTAAAGATCATCTTTGGCTGACCTCAGCTTTGACTAAATATCAACGTTTGCCGACCTCAGAAGCTATCGGTGTTCACCTGTTTGGTAAATAGTATTAATGCCTTTCATTATTTGAGTTGAGTGAGTCAAATAGGTAAATGGGTCTTGGAAGAGAGGTGGATTTGCCCCCTCCTTGACTGGGTAAGTTAGTTGTGTTATAGTCCATTTTTCTCTAGGCTGTTTTTGTTATATCTAGTCCTTTTTCACTTTTTGGTTTTGAAAAATCTCAAACGCAACAGATATCTAATTGAGAAAAGTTGTTTAGGCCAGCTTAAATCATGTTGGCTTTTCAAATACAAAAGAAAGTGAGTATTAGTGATGACTTATTGTGCATTATGACATACATACCAGTCATTCTACTCTCGTGAATTTTCCCTACAGTTTTGGTGGGTACTAAATTCATGGTGAGAGTTGATAGATTGATCAGTTGAAGTCAGTTTCAATGGATGATGATCAAATTGATTTTAAATAGTTAGGATTTAATTCTGATTAAAAATAATAATAAAAGTAAATGAAAACATGATGATTTGTGGGCATAAAGTTAGGGATTTTTTTTTAGTGGTGTTAGGAAATCAAGCTTGGTGACCACTCCCACTTTTTTTTTTTCCTTCAATGTTTAGATTATAAAATTTATTGCTCTAGATATCCAAAAGGATTGCTTATAGTAACAAAAGTAAAAGAGGAGGAACTTCTTGGTTTTCATTGTAGTTTGAAAAGGAAATATAAAAACTTTATCTTTAGAACATTGCGAGACCTAAAAATTCGATCTCGAGTTGTCAATTACACAATAAATGAGTTACGTTATTTTTAGGTTAGATGTTCTTGACAAGAAGAAAGACATGGAAGCTAACTAATGTTTGACTGTAAAGAGTGGGTGTGACTGGGTCAGTTCTTGCTTCATTAATGATGTATTATGTATTGAATAACACAAAAATCAACTACTACGGCATTATTAATCACATCTAGATATTACCATATTAACGAATATAATTCCTTATGATTACTGTATACAAAAATTCCATGGAAGAAATCCCACATCGGAGAAATCAGCACAGTTTTTCATTCTTATCAAATCTATGTACTTACTTACATTAGCTATAAACTCACGAAATCTTTTGGTGTAATTTGTTCCTCAAGTTCGCGGTGAGGATTCCTTTCTTGGCAATTCATTTCGTACTCATCTCATCTTCTGATGGATTCTCTTTGCATCATGGCCTGAAAACTTGTGGACTTCGGCCATTTTAGGTACTGGATTTTTCGTCTACTCAACTTTACAGTGACAAGATGTTATGATACAACCCACAACTCACATGTATAGTTTGTATGTATATATATAATTTGTCCATCAATTAATCAGAATGATTCTTTATTAGAATTACACCACCATATTTATTTAATTCGTTAAATACATCATTATTGTATAGTATTTCATATATACAGTACAACCCAATATTTGTTTTTTCAAGTTACTAATTTTTTATTATTTTCTTTATCGAAACATTGAAATAATAATAAATTCACTCATGACAATGATATATGTTGTATATGTAAATTTTAGATTAAAAAAAAAAATATGCAGAATTCTTCGTGAAAATGAAAATAGATATAAAGAAAAAAAAAAAAATTGAGGGCATAAATAAATATAATAAAATACAAAATAAAATAAGAACTAATAAAAATATTTTTTATTAATTAGTGTACAAATTATATTTGTTTTTCATACCTCGTTATGAATTAAATTTGTCTTTTTGTAGGTATTCTTCTTTTAAATCTATTTATTTCGTATCTAAAATTAAAATTATTCCTCAGTCTAATAAATACATTTCAATATAAAATTTAGTAATTAAAAAATTTTATTTTGATCCAACTTTAGATCGAGGATTATTATCACTTAAACGTGTAGAAATATTATATCTTAGTATAAATTATGTAACATTAGTGCAATAAGTGTAATTATGCAATTAACTTAAATTAAAATAATATATATCAAACTTATATTAATTTTCATTTATATAACTAAAATGATATAAACTTAAAAGAATTTATTAATAAAAAATATTATTTAAAAATAAAAGAAAATAATTAAATAATATGACACGCTTATATGGTAATTTAGAAAATATAATTAAAATTTTTATCTAAAAGATTTTTGAAATTTATTTGTCATCTTCCCTACTTCACTACCCGCGACACAGCCTCCTGCTACCGCCGCCAGTGACCGCCCCCCAAATTTTCTTCGTTTCTTGTCCTCCTCGATATTTCTTCAGCCTTCTTTTCCACAAGGGTCTCCGAACACCTCTTCTTTTCTTCTTCAGTTTCGAGAGTCACGTGCGGCGACCGGCCGCCGTCTCTTTTGATCGGTTCTCCTTCTTCTTCTTCTTCAGGTAAAAGTACCTTTTCTATATGTTGAGTCCAAGGTTTGCTACTTCATATTGATCGAATTTTGATGAAGATTTTGTATTGAATAAGATGTTTCTACTTTCTTTCCCTGCTGAGGAGTTTTTTTAAGTATATTCTTCTGGTTCTGATGGTAATTTGGAGTTAAAGATTAGGCTTTTTAGCTGATAAGCTCCTAAAAATTTAGTACCGCAGTTTTCATTTCCTTTTTTAATTTTGAGAAACAGGGTTATGGTTAAAAGGTTGATTCACTTTTTCTTGGTAGACCCCTTTTTGAACAGATGGTTGCTTCATTTGTTTATGATTCATCTGAAAATAATGTTTTGAGTGTTTAGTATGTGAATGTGGTTGTATCATGAATATGGCTGCTGCATGTTACTGCAAAGAAGAAAAACAATCTGCCAATCAGAATTTCTTTTTCCTTGTTCTTTTTTGAAATATTTTTGTCTTTTTGTTGGGGAAATCCGGATAATTTAATCTATCATGTTGTCATGAAGCATGGCAGAGAATCCTTTTGATTACAAACTGCACATACAAACTGTAGTATTGTAGCTGATCTGGAGAGAACTTTCCAACCCAATGGCGAAACTGACTCTTTCTTGAAGAGAATCCCTTTAATTACTATATTTGGATACTCAATCCCTACATAACAGTCTTTCTAGACTCCTCCATTGATCATCTCTGCAAAACCTTCATTATGATACTTCATCATTGTGTTATGTCTTTTACTAATATGCTAGTCCTATTCCAACTGTGATGGGTTTAAGGTTTCAATTATCTGCATTTTGTTGCTCATTGAGGTGGAGTTTCTGATTTAGTTAATGTGGTGACAGACTAGAATGATACGAGGGAGACGGCTGGAATGCTGCTTTATTGAATTGTTAACTTACTGATATCTATCTTATTTTCTTATTGAGATTTTGATATGGATTTGACCTTTTCTGACTTTTTAGTTCCAATTAGTTGAGTATGTACTCATACTTCCTTGTAGTTTAGTTGACTATAGGGGCTTCCTTGAAGTTTAGTTGACTATGGGTCTCTGGTTTGGATGTTTGATGTGTGCCATTCTGTAAAGATGCACTTTCAATTATGTTACTTCAGGCTTGTTAACACTGCTCTTAAATTTTTCAGTTAAACGGACTGAAAATTTCACTTCTCTGATCTCTTGATCTTTTGTTGACCTATATATTTTTCATCAACTGCAGATAATCGAAAAAGTTTATCGTGTGGACAAAATATAACAGTCTTTTTGGTGATACAAAACAATTAAGAGGAAATGGCATCGCAACAAAAAGAAGAGGGAGATCAGCAAATGGGTGGTCTCCAAGCTGCTGGCTTTAAAGAAATGGTAGAAGAACGATATAAGAAAATCAAAGAACATGCAGAAACTTACCCTTATGTATGGGCTTCTTATATTGTTGTATATGGTGGTTTTGGCCTCTGGATGACCTATAGATGGAGAAAACTCCGCAAAACTGAAGATCGGGTGAGAATACTCCAAGAGAGACTGCGCAGACTGGTTGAAAAGGAAGAGTCGGCAAACTCTTTTAACTCAGTTGAAAAGACAACACCATTTGCTGATAAATCCTTGAAGAAGTAGTTAGGTAATTTACTAGTTGTGGTTCATCTTCTCATACCTGCTAATTTAAGTTGGAATTTGGAAATGGTTTACCTCTTTGTCTTCCCAAAATTCCCGGTGGAATGAATGATAATTTTCTTTTTGGTAAACTATTCTACTGGTCTCATTAAGTGTTGATTACTTTTGCACTCTATTTGTAAAAAAATATGAGCAGTGAAAATTAGGCTTAAAATCAAGTGTTGATTATTATTGGCATTTCTGTTGTTATCTGCCGTCACGTTGTTCAACTGGATTATTAAACAAGAAAATCAAGTTGAGGAAAAGTAAATATATATAGAATTTATATAGTTTTTTCAATATGACCTACTTTACACAAGGAACAATTCCAAATTTACTAGGAAGAATTTTGAAAATTATTATAGGTTCTCCCTTTCTCAAACTCAGGTCCTTGATTAACTCAAATATAAATACAAGGTTCTAGTTTGGAGAGTACATGGATAGAAGTTGATATGGTAGATGTCGGTTGCACCTTTTATTTTGGCCAATTTCAACTATAAAAAAGATGTAAATACAGTCATTGTCCTAAGGCCATAGAATTCTATCACCATCTCCATTTGCAATGGAAATCAAATTTCTAACAAGAATCTATGTAGACCATAACCATGGTGGTTCGAGCTATTATACCTTCCTCCGCTTTGAGAATATCCTTCCAATTGGAAAAACAATTCGAATAGAGAAAATGATTCTTCAAGAAACTCACAGCCTTCACGATTTTGTATTCAAATTGATTTTTGAAACTATTTGATCTCCAAAATTCATTCAGCAAGCTGATCCTTAAAGTTGAATATGAAGAGCTGATAGCTTTTTTTTTATGGTTATGGTTTTTTTTCCC